ATTCAATGATCTCTGCGAAGACGATAAGATAACACTCCTGAAGAAGGGCTGCCATGAGATTATATGTCTGTTAACTGTTGTTAACTTTGATTTCAAATGCGATTCCTGGAGGGTTCCCATTGTCAGTGATATGATTAAATATATTTAAGTTATATTATTAAATAAATAAAATTGAATTTTATGTTTATGTACACCGAATACCCAGGATTCAGAAAATGCAACGCTAGTCAATCTAGATGTGTTAAAAACATTGCAACAGGATTTCACTGAAAGTGCAAAACATTTCTTGATATCACTTCACCGGGAATATGATTCTGACATTAATATTCTTGATTTGGTACACTATTTTTCGATATAATACAATGTTTTGATTTGTAGAGTATAACTTATTATTACTGTATATTATGATATCAACTTTCCTTACAGTTAACTGTCATATTACTTTACAATCATCAACGATCCTCGCTAATCAATAAAAACTATGTTAAGTAAGTAACAATGCATGATTACTGATTAGGTTGTAACTAATTGATAAGAATATTCATTTATTAATTCATTGATAGACTCCAACAGCAGACTTACATGTATTTACTTCAACGCTATTTAGAGATTAAACACAACTCTAAGAGTGAATCTGAGACCCGATTCTTGCGATTAATGAATTGTGTGAATGAGTTGTATGCCGTGAGTCTTATGATTAAAAGCAATTTTGCTAATATCATTGCTAACGATCCACAAACAGATGGCTCTATTTTTAAGGAAATTGTATTTTCATAATTGATTACAACATTTTGAATTAATTAAACAAATATTAATCATTGGCCTTAACATTTTAAATTTAAATATCTTTAACCTTTAATCCAACTAAAAATATAGTTATCAACGAATTGTTAAAAAGATAATATTATTTATTTATATTCATATAAAAAATTCTTGCCTTTAATCTGATATAACACTTAATAAAGTTAAAACTGATCCTGGTGAACACCTGCTTGCACTATTGCATCCGGTATTAATAAATAATTATAATCAATAATTTTCGAATAATTATTTATCTTTAACCATGGTAAAGAAATAGGTTTACAAAATATAGCACTTATCTCATACTGCATAACTTAATTCATAGAATATTATGTATATATATACAGAATATGATAGTTTACAAATATGATGAAACATAGATGATTAATAACAGATTAAAATACAATACAATATAATATAAAATTCGTGTGTTTAAAAATGGGATTTTATTCCATATGTTCCAGCCCCTTTTCTATTTTAAGTTGCCCTTAAGCAAATAATGACTGTCAACTCCAACTGTCATTTTATTAAAATAAAAAAGGGATTTTTTTTCAAGTTGTTTACAGTACTGTATATTTTTTAAGTACAAAGTTGTATAAAGTTATTATTACGTTCAAAAATATTTTAAAACAGGTTTTTATAATACTTATTGAAGGAAACCGATTAATGTATTATTTTTTGGACAAAAAAATTGTGTACTAATTAAATAATTGTTATAATAATTTTATTTTATAATTTTATTTTAGATTTTATAGACTATAGATTTTATAATAATAAATGTTAATATAAAGAATAATTATAATGAAATCAAAATATTGTAGTGTATGTGGTGACAAAGCATTGGGTATGAGTTTCTATTTAATTATAATTTGTATCAATTTGATTTTATATTAATATTAAAAATGATCATTGTTATAATCAATTGATTACATTTGTAGGCAATAATTTTGGTGCCATAACATGTGAATCGTGTCGGACATTCTTCAGGAGGAGTTCCACCAGAGCTGAGGTATTATGAAATAAATATAATACAAAATATAGGGTAAGCTACACATTAAATAATTAAATATTTCATTACTAGGAATATGTATGTTTTTTCAATGGTCAATGTGTCATAAACTCTGTGACACGAAAATTCTGTAAAAAGTGTAGAATCGAGAAATGTTTTGCTATGGGAATGCAAATGGTGACTATTTTCTGGCTAAAATATAATTTATGATTATTGTATTATATTTTAAAGGAATCCAAAAGACAAAGCAAAACAAAAACTATTGATTGTTATTCAACTGATACCACGGATAGTAGTTATTCAAATCAATTCACAATTTTAAGTGCATTTAATAGCAATCAGACTGAAGTTAATCCGATTTCTTCCTTAATAAGAAATATTATATTTAATTTCAATGAGTTGGAGGCAAATCGGTTGAGACATTTATTTACATCAACCGCTTATATGAGAGATCCAGTCATAAAGATTGCCACCAAACCCAACACATATACCGATGCTTTCAAAGTACTGAAAATACGGTCAGACATCAAATGTCGGAGAATTATAAAAATGTGTAAAACTATAGATGAATACAAAGAGTTGTGTGAAGACGACAAAATCATTTTACTAAAGACCTCGTGTCCTGAGATACTTTGCTTGTATAAAGTGGTTAACTTTGATTTCGATGGCGAGTTCTGGAGGGTTCCCATTGTATGTCATGTGTATATAAATATGTTTAATAAATAATATAATAGAATATATTTGTACTCACTAATCTATCATAATTATGCTAATGATGTTGATAAATTTGATATAGGATTCAGAGAATGGTCTTATAGTATCGTTAGATATACTAAAGTATGGCAAATGCAACTTTTATGAAATTCAAAAACATTTTATGTATACAATGAAAGGGGAATATGGTACCGATATAAATCTAATTGATCTGGTAAAAACAGATTTAATTAAATATTTATAAATAATATGAGTTTTCAATTCTGTTTAGTTAATGGCAATTATACTTTTCAATCCTAATCGACCCAATTTGAAACAAAAAGATTTTATAAAGTGAGTATACAATATGTATTCGTGAAAATTAATGTGTCGTAAAATTGATAATTGAGATTTAATTTAACTTATCATTGATAGACTCCAACAGAAGACTTACATGTATTTACTTAAACGCTATTTGGAGTTAAAACACAACTCTAAGAGTGAATCCGAGATCCGATTCCTAAGACTAATGAATTGTTTGAATGAGTTATATATAGCGACTGATAATTTGATGAATAATGTTAATGCTATTCAATTTAATACACCAGGATCACTTGTCTCTGAAATAATTGCTTGTTAATTAAAAATAAATATAAAATAATGTTTAAAATAAAAATATTATTAAATACCAAAAGTGAAAATTGTGTTTAATGTGAATCAAAATTATGTCTTAAAACGTTAATAAAAATTAATATACTGTATATAATTTAGCATAATAAAAATTTTAGATGTATAGATTAATTATTTATAATAAGTTTATAGTATTAATTTCATAATTACAATAAAATTTATATATTATTTTACAAATTAATTTATCTAATAAATCATAAACCAATTCTATTGTATTTGTATTGTATATTGTATTTACATTTAATATAATATTATTAAAATATTTAAACTTAACATTTAATTTTATGTTTTTAATTATGTATTTAAACAACGAAAATTATATTTTAATATCAACACTTTCCAGCGTTGATGTTTTATTACTTAAAATTAAAAATAATTTAATGAGTTAAAAACGTACTGATACATTAGCAATAAATATTGTAGATTTAAAAAATAATTCTAAATTACTAATTGTTATAAATTCTAACTTCAAAACTGCATTAAATATCTTTATAAAAATATATTTATATAATTATTTAAATATTTTGAAAGATATATCCATATTATATAATATATCAATATACTGTAATATAATAATACAGTAATACTTTATTGATATAAAATATACACTAATACATTTATATACCATTATATCATTTTATACTAATTGTACTTATTTACTAATTTAAAAAAGAGATTTAAATTATTAAATTAGATTTGAATGAAGGTTTTTGGTTGCGCAAGGTTACCTTGATAAAATATTGATTACGTATTTCCACATGTTTAATAATAGGGAAATCACGAAGTTTTTGAAATATACTATTGTCTTAAATTTTCAAACATTAGTTATAACTTATAAGTAATATATTATTTTATAACCGATTTTTATATTTCCTAATACAAATAAATCATTTATATCACAACTTGCATATTGACTGTTTTTCATGCAAAATTGTTTTATTTTAAGTATTATTAAAATTATTAAACTCAATTATAATATTATTAAAATATGAATAAAAATCTTTGTAGTGTTTGTGGTGATCAACCATCAGGTAAAAGTTACTAATATATATGTATAAATAATGATTACATTTGATAGTAAATTATTGATAGGCCTTAACTTCGGTGTCATAACCTGTGAATCGTGTCGAACCTTCTTTAGGAGGAGTGCCACCAGAGCTCAGGTATTATATAATATAAATAAAATAAAGTTAATAAGAAAATTGAATTTAAATATTGCATTACTAGGAATATGTGTGCTTTTTCAATAACAA